GCTTGCCATTCTAGGAGTATTTGCAAGAATTAAATAGTCTTTTTACTTTGTTTCCTCACCTCCACCCATCTCTCAAAAGAATCCAACATTCGGACACTGACAAGATGGTTATTTTCAGGCACTAGCCTGCCATCTTTTCAGTCAGCAGTTTATCAGGGCTCAGTCTCATTCAGAGGATCTGCAAGCAATCCAGTTGCTGTGGTCCAGTTCTCATTTGGAAAAACCTAGAGCAGTGTTTGTTGGGAGATCTCTATTTAGTTCTAGGTCCAGAATTTGGTTTTGGTTCTTGATTCTCCAGGTCAATGAAATATTTGTACCTTCAGTAGAATGAATCTGAAAGCCTAGGGTTTGGCCTCTGATAAGGGGTGAGACAGATGGTGGGGAGGAAATGGAGTGGGGAGCAGAATAGAGGAGTATCTATTCACATGCAACAGAATTTATACATCAACATCACCCACTCCAGACTTAATGAGGATTGAGATTGGACACTGAGGATTGACATTACCCATTTCATTCATATATACCGGGATACCTGTTTCATTACCAAGAGACTAGCCTGCCTTATTCTTGGAGCCATCCTGTGTTTGAAGATGTGTTCCTGAGTGAGAAACCTGAGTAAAAGATGGGGGAGATACAGCTAAAATGGGGGCAAAGAATGCTTGATTCATAATGAGCTATTTCTCATTTATCTTTGAAATTCTGACTCGATTAATGTATTTCCAAAATGATCAACAGAACCTACTCCAAATCAAAGGGATTAAGTCACCCTGCTTATTTAATTTACATGCAGAGTATATTATGTGATGTACTGGTTGGATGAATCAAAACCTGGTATCAAGATTGCCAGTAGAAATATCAGCAACCTCAGATATACCTCATGTATACAAATGATACCACCCTAATGGCAGAGGGCAAAGAGGAACTAAAGAGCCTCTTGATGAGGGTGAAAGAAAAGAGTGAAAAAAGTTGGCTTAAAACTCAACACACAAAAAACTAAGATCATGGCATCTGGTCCCATCACTTTATGTCAAATAGATGGGGGAAAAATGAAAACAAGGACAGACTTCATTTTCTTGGGCCCCAAAATCACTGCAGACGGTGACTGCAGCCACAAAATTAAAAGATGCTTGCTCCTTGGAAGAAAAGCTATGACAAACCTAAACAGTGTATTAAAAAGCAGAGGCATCATTTTGCTGATAAAGGTTCAACTAGTGAAAGCTATAGTTTTTCCAGTAGTCATATATGGATGTGATAGTTGGACCATAAAGAAAACTGAGTGCCAAAGAACTGATGCTTTCAAATTGTGGTGCCGGAGAAGACTCTTGAGAGCCCCTTGCACAGCAAAAAGATCAAACCAGTCAATCCTAAAGGAAATCAGTCATGGATATTCATTGGAAGGACTGATGCTGAAGCTGAAGCTCCAAAACTTTGGCCACCTGATATGAAGAATCAACTCGTTCTGAGAAAGATTGAGGGCAGGAGGAGTATGGAGCAACAGAGGATGAGATGGTTGGATGGCATCATCGACTCAGTGGACATGAGTCTGAGCAAACGTTAAGAGATAGTGAAGGACAGGGAAGCCCGGCATGCCACAGTCCTTGGGGTCACAAAGAGTGGGACGCAGCTGAGTGACTGAACAAAATTCTCCCTGACAGTATGGTAGACCGGCAAATTATTGCTGTTGAAATGAGTTAAACTTGGGCTTCATCTTGATTCTGTCGTTTGCTAGCTATATATTCACTGGTGTCTACTTAAATTAGCCTGATTTCTCTTATGAAAACACTGATTAATTGTAATGAGAATTAAAAGAAAATTAAAAGAGAATTAAAAGAAAAATTCAAGCAAAGTAATTTGGTACATTGCTTAGTAATTATAAAGTTGCAAAAAAATATAATTCCATTATTTTTCTCAAAATTTTTACAGCTTGATGATAAAAATCCAAGATAAGTAAAATAAAACCACAAAGCAGAAAGCAAGGCAGTCTGATCTTGAAGGGGAGCAAAGTATGCTACCCCAAAATATGCCTATAGGCATAAGAATTATTCTGAGCTTATAAGGGTATAGATAATTGAATTGCTATAGATTACTTGTTGGCTAAACAAAGAGGAGTCTGTGCCATCACAAATATCTCCTGTTATACAAATATCTCCTGTTATACCTGGTTTAATAACTCTGCTATTAAAGAAATACAAATAACAAGTAAAGAACTAACAAGTTACTTGATGAGATTGATGTCTCTGTAGGTACATTCTTTGATTTATTTGGTACAAAATGATTTGGTTCATAGGGGCCCTGGCTAAAATACATATTTCTGCCTCTTGATATTATCTTCTAATAGCCTTTAGTTTAATCTTTGCTTCAATAGCTTTATAAACCCTGCAATAGTCCAATTGTTCTCCTCAGTGAAGACAAACATCTTTCAGCACTTGGCAGTCTTTTAGCTACTCTAATTGTAGTGACACCTTCCTTCTATGAAAGCACGGGAGAAGAAACAGTTGTTTTTTCCTGCCTTTCAGATAACTGGTGATGCCACCTCCTGATAACCAGTTCTGCAGATTCACTACCTTAGGTCTATATGTTATGTGAGATAATAATTAAAACTAAAGCCAGTTAAAATGGGTTTTATAACAGAAAGCATCTTAATTCAGATATTCACACCATTCACTTTTCTATATTATTTTTCAGACCACTGATCTCAAACAAAATGAGACAACTCATTTTTTCATCTTAAAGAACAAAGCAAGAGTAAAGCTGCAACCTTAGCATCAAACAAAATTTACACCAAATGTATACATAATGCAGATACGACTATCAACTTATCAAATTTCTATAAGATGATAACCTGTTTCACACATAATCAACATAAGCATAAATAAATTTTGACTATGGTTGAAAACAAAATAATAGTTGCTTCTGACTATGGAGAAATTGTGTTCAAATTACCATTACTCTGAAATGAGCTTCTGAATCTACTATCTACTCTTTAGATTTGACTTACATTTAAAGCTGACGCTTCAGAAGGAATATAAAAGCAAAACCCACTATCTGCTTATCCAATGTAGTCACCTTTCTCAGAACCTATCCAACTCCTTTATACAACGGAAGTCTATGGAATTTATAAATAAATGCTGATTTACAATTGTAGTTCCACAATGTTCTATGCAAGAGTTAGAAAATGCTAAAAAAGAAAAGTAAAAAATTACTTTTCTAGCTTGTTTCTCATCATATATTTTTGACAAGTCTGTTTCAATCATTACAGCTTGTTTTTAGTTTTTGATATCACCTTTTACATATTATTTAAATTTCATTACACAAAATATTCAAAACTGCCTCAAGTTAGAATATTAAATAAGATTTATTTGGAAAAGTCCACCTTTCATCTTTGTCTCCTTCAACTTATCCCCTCATTCTGCTGTAAAGGCAATGCAAAAAAAATCTTTCCTTTGTCTCTACTTATGAATGTAAGTCGATGATATGTAGATAGATTGAATGAATGGGTTTAGTTACATGTTCCTATTATCCTCTTCTACCTTACTAAACAAAATGCTGTGTATGGTACACACACTTCTGTACATACTGAAAGTGAATTTTGGAGATTACTCCCTAGTAAGACAGTCTCATTTTTTTCTAAAAATGCAGAGTATTCCATTGTTGGATGTACATTACTGTATTCATATAACCTCTTTTGCTTCCCAGCATGGTCTCTGATTTCTGCTAAGACCCATAGGGGATTTCCCTGTGACAGACAGTAAGTTTGTACCAGAAACTGGAGGGCCTCAGAATGCATGTTATCACCTGGCAGCTTTGTCCTGATAGACTTCTGAGAACTATTTATGGGGAAGAATGTATCCCAGTCAAAGAATCAGCACATCAATGATGTTTATTGGAAGGACAGAAAAAGATTGAAGCATTATAGCCCACTATCAGTCTAACAAAAAAATAGTTCAAGAAGTACCCTAGGTTATATAACTCTCTTTTTAAAAAGATCAGTGAAAAAGAGACAAAAAGAGAATGATTACAAAAATATTGAGGGCATCACATCCTTACAAGTTACCTGCGTTTCTTACATTTGTTGTCCCAATTCTGTATACAATAGTGTAAAGAAACTTGTCTTTGAAAATGCAGAGATGTAGGGGACCATCATGAAATGGGTTCTTTAAGGGCTTTCTCAGGAAAATGGATTCATTAAGGGCTAGCTCAGGAAAACATGTCTAATAACAGAATGCAGAAAACCCAAGAGAAAAATAAAGGAAGAAAGGAAACTTTCTAGATCCACAGGTGACCAAAATTCAGGAATATAAATAAAAACGTTATTGTGGTGTGATGTAGTCTTCCCTTTATCTTTTCTTTGACTTCTTTCTTTGAAGATGTATGAAGCAGATGATTTTCACTCTGTATTTATTTGAAGGAACACATTATAAAGTGAAATGAACAGAAGATGAGCTCAGATGCACAGGAAATAGTAGAAGTTGAAAACAAAGGGAACCAAGGAAGAAAGAACATATGGTACTGGAATCAGTATTGAGAACTCCCAGGTCAAAGGCTGAGGGCAGGGGGGTAGGGGTGACTGAGAAAGCCATCAAGGTGGACAGTTTCTACCGGGTCACTGAGCCAGGAGCAAACAAGATCCTGAGAAAGTACTTCATTGTGGAAGAGTTAGCGCTAAGCAGGAAACCTTTTCACACTGTGAAGAAGTTGGGACAGAAGGTTCTTCCTTGAGTGTGACCATCTTCACTTTAGCTCAGGAGCCCTGCAAAAGACAGAGGAGAGGGTTGTTTCCAGACATAACTCTACAGGCAGCTCCTTTTCTCCTCTCTCAGGGGAATGTTAAGGTTAATATTAAAGTGTTAAGGTTAGAAGGGGAAAAAATTCTTAAGTTTCCTGAGCCAAAGCTACTTTAGAACACAAGTCTTTTATTTAGTTGAAAGAAGAAGCTTTAATGTAAACTGCTTGACAAGAAGTCAGGTCCAAAGTCTTTCATTATTTCTTCCTCTGTCTTGTCACCTCTACCATCTGTTCTAGGGAGACTAAATACGATTTTAAAAGACAAAAAGCATTACCTGTTGGCTGAAGTGTAGGGCGTCCTAGGAGAGACAAAATAAGATATATACTTAAAAGATATAGAGGTTGATCCATCCCCAAAACACAATGTCCCAAGCCCCAAGGCCCCACCAGAGATCTTCCCAACACCATAACCCACATCATCTGATGCCAGGGTTTATATGAGGGCAAACACTATGAGCATGTGACCCATGAAGTTTCTCTCATACCAATCCAATGCAATTAAGTCAGCCTTATTGTCTCTTCCTGTATTTGTCCCAGGATCTCCACCCCAAACCCCCATGCCTGTTAACCTTTCCTTATCTCTACAAGCCACAAACTCTTATGTTTCACCCATAAGTAACCATGGACTACAGATTTCTGGATCTCTGGGATATTAAGGTCAGTTGGGGAAATAAGCTTTAGAAGAGGCCATTGATATACAGAGAACTCACTTGAGCAAAACCACAGTCTTCCTCCAAAAGTCAGTGAGGAAGCTCAGCTGCCTAAAGGCTCCTACCTTTCTGATTCTTGAAGTAGATGAAGAGCCCCACTGCAAGGAAGAGCAGACCCAGAACAAAACCGCCAACTCCACTCATCATCTTGCTCTGAGCAGAGTCAGATCGTGCCCCTGAGAAAAGAAACCAGTTTTAGTCGTTTTTATCCCAAATTCTCTTCTCTAATTGCGACGCTGAAATTGTGAACTATGAGAATGAGGAACAAAGTCTGCCCTGGAAGAATTAGAACAATTGGCCATTTCTGGAAAAGAGATTAAAAATCACACTGAGTAGCTACAAAGTTCAGACAGTGAACTTATTTAAATATCACAGCCATGCTATTAGGCCATGCTATTATATTAGGTCGCATGACTTCAACATCTAATGGATGAGGAGCCAAGGACTCAATAAGGTTAAGTAGCTTGTCTAGGGTGACAGATGTAATAAAAGGCATAGCTGAGGTTGGACTCCACTCATGTCAAGCACATGCTTACATTGTAGAGGATGCATGTCTTTTCAGATCACAGTGAAGAACTCAGAGCAACAGTGTCAGAAGCCCAATCTGAGGCAGGGGACTGGTGCCCAGGGCCATGTAGTGTCCATGACTTGTGATATCACAGGAAGCTCAGAACAGGGACACCTCTTTTCTCTTTGCCAGGCAGAAGTGCCTCCTCAGGGGGTGTAGGTATTTGGAGAAACTATCCCAGGATATCTGTAAACTATCAGAGGATTTCTATCATAGGCTATCTCAGGGCTCCCCCAATAACCTCAGCTGAAGGACAGGAGAAAAAGGAGNTTCGTCCCACTTCACACACACACACTCCCCTCAACAGTCACTGACAAATTCACACACTGTCTGTCCAACACCACACTCTCACAGGAACCCCAGCTTCTACTTGCTCACATCCTACATGTTAATACTTACCCTGGACCAGTCTACCTCTGTCTCGGGCCCTGTCTCTCTGTCTCTCCCCGTCTTACAATCACCCAATGACAAAATCACAGTGTCTGCTGACAACACGCTCTCACAGGAACCCTCCTAACTTGTACTCACTCACAGTCGTACACACTCTCCCCGGACTGAGTGAAGTATCTATGTCTCTGTCTGTTTCTCTCTCTCTCCGCCTCTGTCTCTGTCTCCCACTTTCTCTCTCTCACACACACACACACTGCCCCCCACCCCCTGGCCGTCCACCCCCGCACTCACCTCGCCGCTGCACAGTGAAACTCTCAATAACCCCGTAGTTGTGTCTGCAGTACGTGTCCACCTCGGCCCGCCTCTGCTCCAGGAGCTCCTTCCGGCTGTTCCAGTCCTCGGCGTCCGGCCGCCCCAGCTCTGTCACCGCCCGGTACTCGCCCACGTCGCTGTCGAAGCGCACGTACTCTTCCTGGTTATAGATGTATCTGTCCAGGAACCGCACCCGCTGCGTCCCGTTGGAGAAATGACACTCGGCCTTATGATACTCCAGGAAATGTGCTGCAGAGACAGGAAAGATCAGGTCACAGGAGCGGACTCCTGGGGAGAGGCTAATGAGGGATGGAGGGCAGGGGCGACACCCACCAACGCGGGACGCCCAGGCTCAGCTGGGGCCGCTAGGACTAGCCCTAACCCCCTCACTGGCTCCACCGGCACCCCAACTACCAGCACGCCTTGAGTTCTTTCATCTTCACTCTACAGACGGAGGCTGCAGGAGGCCAGGGGAAATCTCTCTTATCCAAGCCTTTCCCGACCTAGTCCAGCTTCCATGCTTGGCTGGAGCCCTCTAGGCCTGAGTCCTCTAAGCCCGAGACTTAGAGGATTTGCCCCTTCACCACCTCTTCCTAAATCCTCCACCAGAAAACCAGCGCTCTCCCGTCATCCGACAGCTCTTTCAACAGTTCCTTAAACATGTTCACCTCATTTTGCAAATGTTTGGTTGGGGCTGGCCTTGCCACAGGCCTGTGCTACTCTCTGAGAACCCAAAGAAACAAAAACAGACATGTCCCCTCCAATCATGGAACTTAAATTTTAGTGAAAATGACAGACAAAATTAAACCATAAATGAATTTATACAAGAGTGAGAAATATCAGAAGTGTTAGAGTTCTATAACAATCAATTATAGGATGACCTAAATTACATTAGGTGCCAAAAAGTGGTCTCTAAGAGTGACATTTAATGTAACATGAAAGGCTAAGTTGGCGTGCACTGAGGGAGGAAACTGGGTGTGTGTATATATGTTTAGGGTAAAAGGGAGACGCATTTCAGGTGTCTGTATTTTGTATATTAATACCATGTACAAAAGCTTGGAAGAAGTGACAGACTTCTTTAAAGACCTAGAAAAAATATTTCATTGAAGTGCAGAGAGTGAGAGGGAGGAGGTAAAAGACTACACTGGAGAAATCAAGTAATTGAGCCAGTTACTTAAACGTCCTGTAGGCGATGTTAGGATTTTGACTTTATCCTATATGTAAGGAGAACTACTGAGGAGCTTTAAGGAAATTAAATCCATAACCCTAATACAGTGCTACAATCTCTTTACTGCATTTTCAAATTAAGAAAGCTCAGAAAAACAGATTTTTAAAAAATTGGTGACAAATCTCAATTGGCAAATCTGACTTGATGAGTTAAGGGGTCAAATATGGCTCTGAGGGTTGGGGTGGGGTCTGTTCAGTAGATGGTAGGCTGTTTGCCAGCATCCTTTAGCCCCTACACAGTGGATATCAGAAGAAACCCTCAGTGTAACAACCAAAATGGCTCCAGATATTTCCAAATGTTTAGGAGTCAAGGAGTAGGGGTAAGGAGTGGTGATCTGTCACCAGATGAGCTCCACTGGTATAAACCATCTGAAAAATCTACAGTGCTAAAACCATTGTTAATTTTGGAGCAGCTGAGAATTACACTGAAAGTTTTGCCAATAGTCAGTCTTGGTCCTACATCAAATCTATACTTTTTAAGAATCCAGCCCCAGTGGAGAGTTACTTTTCCAATAAAACACATTTATTCAGTACAAAGCCTTATTTGTTTCCCTCACCAACAAATTACAAAGTCATGTAATTTATCCTTCACATCATCTTCCTTCTTAATTTCTCTGCCACTGGCCCACTACTTGTCTATAGTATAGGAGTAAACTATAGTCACAGACATTTTATTCCTATTCAAAGCCCCAAATAATTCATTTTCTAACTTTGTCTCCTACTCCCAATAATACCAGTAGGCATTAAATTATCAGCCTTGGTCATACAAAGAATTCTTATTTCTGTAGTCAAGTCCCATTGGAAAGGAAGAAAGTAAGGGAGAAAGTGACCTCATTTAGACAGTTAACAAGAAATAAGCAATTCCCCAGACTCTGAGAAGAGACCTTCACTTATAAATGATGGCAGAAAATGCACTGTGAATCAGATCAAGTCTATCTTATTACTCAGAAATTCTCTAATACCTTCTTGTCAATGACAAAGTTAAAAAATAAAACTGTGTGAAGTCAATTTTTTTATGGTAGCTTATATGATTAGCACTGATACTGCAACTCATGTGCCCGATTTAAGGTTGCCAATTTAGTAAATAAAAATATAGGTTTCCCAGTTAAATTTGTATTTCAGAAATCATTGTTGTTTAGCTGAAATTTAAATTTAACTGGATCCTGTGTTATATTTGGCAACCTTAGCCCAACTTGCTAACAAAATTTCAGAAGGAGTACAATTAATACTTCTTTTTCTTCTTCCTTTCATGCCCATGACAGCCTGCACAGAGTGTGAACCCATATGAAACTTGTAAAATAAATGCAAAATTAATAAATATTCCTCCTATTTATTGCTTCTAGCACTCTTTCTAGTGCTGTTCATACCATAAGTACTCAATAAATACATTGCCATTTTAATATTTATAAACTCTATGAATGTAAGCTCACAAGATCTATTTGTTACTTTCTAAAGCAAATGATATCTTCATCATCATTTGACAACTGTCTTCAATTAATTTTATCACTAATTACCATTTTGAGCACAAAAGAGCAGAAACATTGCTTTCTATAAAATAATGATGTATATGTGAATATAACACAAACGGAGTATGCTGACATAAAAGAAAAGGAATTTCCATAAACTCACACTATATAATCTGGGCTCTAGCAGCAGCTATGTGACACTGGGTAAATTACTGAAACTTTTTGAATATTAGATTCCATAGATATATTTTAATTGCTACAGATTTGATAGGCTAGTTATAAGAATTACATACTGAAATTTATGGACCTGGTACCTAACAACTATGAACGGTTTTGATGTTCCATGCTGATAGAGATTGGGTTGTTTTGTTTGTTACTCCATCCTCATCAGCTAGGGAAATAAGTGTTATACTCTAGGTCACTAATAAATATAAGGTTGTATAAATCAATGGCTTTTTCCATAACCAGTCACTCCTGCATAAATACAAGGGCATTCTAGTGCTTTTTGCTGGTGACTGAACCTCTCTGGTTCTCAAGTCATCCCAGCGTTTCTTCAGGTTCTTTTATTCTTATACTTTAGGTCCAGCTTACTCTCTGATTCTAGGGCACGGTTTCCCCCTGATTCAAGGGGGAATATGACATCTGTAATCCATCCCTCACTTCTTCAGCTCTCATTCTTTCTTCAAAGGGTCCAATCTAGCTCCTGTCTTGTATGTTCTGTTGACTGTAAACATCAAGTCCACCAAACCCAGTGCTGATTTCTCTGTGGTGTTCTCACTTGACCCTCCTTAGTCAAATTCACCACAACTTCCACTCCTTCCCTTCCTGAAAAATCTATTTTCTTCATGTGCACGCATCACATACTCTTGGTTTTCCCCAACATCAATAGTACCCCTTCCCAGGCTCTTTTACAGACTCATAAGCCCTTGGCCCTCTGTACATGGCCCTTCCTCTCTTTTTCTCATCTACACACACTCTCTCTTTCCCCTACTTTCTTATATTTTAACATAGTGCATATGTCAATGACCCTGACACGCATACCTGCAGCTCTGGCCTCCCCTTGAATTCCAATTTGATGTTTTCGACTGACTACTTGAAGGCTCCACATACATATTAATAAATTATTTCAAACTTAACATAAACAAAACTTATTCTTCTATCCACCCACTTCAAATTAGTTCCTTCCAAAACTTTTCCTATTTCAATAAACAGCACCACCAAGTGACTTTCCTCCTAATCCCTCAGTGCTGTGCTGTGCTTGAGTTGTGTCTAACTCTTTGTGACCCCATGGACTGTAGCCAGCCAGGCTCCTCTGTTCACGGAATTCCCCAGGCAAGAATACTGGAGTCCGTTACCATTTCCTCCTCTAGGCAACCTTCCTGACTAGGGATCAAACCCGAGTCTCTTACACCTCTTACATCTCCTGCATTTGCAGGCAGATTCTTTAACACTAGCGCCACCTGGGAAGCAATCCCTCAGTAGGATTCACACATCTTTTTAAAGAAAATTTAAATGTTTTACCACAGCCATCAGGACCTAATATGATTTGTCCCCTGACTTCATCTTCAACCTCATCTTATTCCACATGCCAACTTGCTTTCTATGCTTCAGCCACACTCTTGCCTTCTTTTTGTCCCTTTAGAAAATCAAATATCTTCTTCACTTCATTCTTTCCCTGTTCCCTTACATCCTTCACATGACTGGCTTTCCATCATTCATATTTCAACTAAATGCCACTTTCACTAGCCATCTGAACTGAAATCAGATGAATGCAATTCTCATTGTTCCATGATCCTGACATATTTTTTTAAGAGCACTTATTTGTCTCTGAAATGTTTTTCCTTTGTTAAAGTTTATTGGGTTGTTGTCTTTCTCTCCTGTCTCCATGATAGCAGGGGTCTTTTCTTCCTTATTCAAATAGAATTTTCTAGGCCTAGAACAGAGCCCAATATATAATAGCTGTTCAGAAAAAAAAAAAAAAAAAAAAACAGATTTTTGGTCTAAACAAATAAACCCTGAGTTTTGGAAGTTGATTTTTGTGGCAATCCTGGAAAGCATCCAGAATGGTCTCCAGCTCCAACACTTTTATTCTGATGACACATTAAATTCCTTCTACTTTCTATGACAAATTCAGACAAACTTCCTCTTTCTCCTCCCACTAGTTGTAAGAAACATTCAAAGTTAAGTAAAAGGTGATTTTTAAGAAAGAGAGAAATTTTCGCTAAATTTCATCTCATCTAATGGACTGTTATAGCACTGATAGTCTGTGTAAACTTGGGGATTTTCAATAATGGTGATGAAAGAACTGGAAAAGGAGTAGGGAATAACTGGAAAGATTTATTAACATGAATAATTAGGGAACAGAGACTACATGATAAATGAAGCTATGAAATTTGAGGCCAAGACCTCAATAGGCCAATGAACCCTCTTGACTTGCTTTTTGACTTTCAACCCTATGGGATGTAAACAACCTTCATACTCTGTACCCTGCTCAGGGTTTATAGTTTGAACAATATGAAATTGCTGATATTTGATTGCTATTGACTTAAAAAAACAGAATTTTATATAATCTATGCTCCACTAGTTAAATCCTTTCTCATGGGTTCAGGGCAGAGAATGCGTAGACACAGGAGAAACTGATTGTGCAGAAAGATTCAAAATAGATTCACAGTGAATACTAACCTGTGTCAGGTTTTCAGAATATATGTGAATTCTTTAAGTATCATAGGACATCCCATAAAGTGCTCCTTATCTATAGAGTCATTCCAAGTACTAAGAATCTCTGCTTAAGCTTTAGGGTGCTTTCCACAGAATAGAGAGAAAAACCAACCCCAACTTTTGTCAGAGGACTTCCATTACAGGGACATAATCCTTATAAACACTGGAGCTCCAGAGAAAGGAAATGGCTTAATGGGGAGAGATCTTTTGATATATTCTTACATGGGGATGTAAGATGTAAGATGGGGATGTAAGATGGGGGATCAAACCCCATCTCTTATGTCTCTTGCATTGGCAGGAAGGTTCTCTATCACTAGCACCACCCAGGAAACCCTTTTTTGGCATAACTGGTGGCTAAGACCATAAAGAGTTCACCTGCAATGTGGGAGATCTGAGTTCGATCCCTGGGTCAGAAAGATCCCCTGGAGACGGAAATGGGTACCCACTGCAGTATTCTTGCCTGAAGAATCCCATGGCAGAAGAGTCTGGTGGGCTACAGTCCATGGGGTCACAAAGAATCAGACACGACTGAGTGACTAACACACACACACACAATAAATAAAGGAAACTGCTGTATGAGGAATTATTTTGACATTCTTATTGATAAATCTTAAGACCCTAAGAGAATTGAATGCAAGGCTGGATAGGTTTTATTGGAGGAGAGTTGAAAAGAAATGGTTCATATATATGGCGGCAACTTATACAACTCTGATTAAGTGGGCAAGCACCCAGGCTCCTTTACTGTGGACAGAACTGAGGATCCATATGATAAAGATAGGTGGTCAGTAAGAATATATCACAATTTTTAAGGGACCTGGCCTGGATATAGTGACAAAGCTAACTCCGTTCCTCACCCCCAACCCCACGATAGGTCACCATCAAGGTATATACTTACGTCGGATCTCCCTGGCCCAGGCCAGAGGAGGGCTCAGCACCATTAGCATCACTGTCAGAGCTGCCATCCGGGAGCCTCCAGAGAAATACAGGCGCACCATGCTGGAAAACAGCGGAGGACAGAGTGAGAGGAGCAGGCAAGTCCCTCTCAAATGGGTACTGTGACCCCCCTCCACCCACATCCCAAATAATACCAACCAAGGGACTCATTTGCTCCTGGATTGGGTGAGCCCAGTTTAGGCAACCAATCAACATCAGAGGCAAACAGCATCATCAGTTGCTGGTCAGAGATTCAATATGAAGGTCCTCTTCTGAAACTTAGAATTTTCTCCACTAAAAGGATTGCTTTAATTTAGTACTTTAAAGTTTGACCCAGTTGCATATGAAATATATTAACTGGGCCCCTATTGTGATCTAGCTTTGTGCTGGTCAGTGATGGTCACACATTTGTGTCTTCAGGAGCATTCATTCATCTCACTTGGAAAGAGAGCTGTTCTGACAAATGCATGTGTGTTAGGAGATGAGGGAGTGGAGAGAAAATGATTGCAATTGAAGATCTTTAATTTGGTCCTACTTGCACCGTAACTTAGTGGTGCAGATTTAGGAAAATTACTTAAACTTTCATAAATGAGGGCTCCCTTTGTGGCTCAGCTGTTAAAGAATCCACTTGCAATGTGGGAGACCTTGGTTCGATCCCTGGGTTTGGAAGATCCCCTGGAGAAGGGAAAGGCTACCCACTCCAGTATTCTGGCATGGAGAATTTGACTATACAGTCCATGGGGTCGCAAAGAGTGGAACACGACTTTCTCTTTCACTTTTCATTTTCCTATAATTGGAAAGAAGTCACTTCAGTCTTTCAGGAGTTTCAATACTTAAAAGTGCTATGATTCTGTGAACACCTCAAGAAATAGTATTCCTGGTAACAGATTACATTACAGAATTATAATTGTTTATTGGAGACTATATAGTCTGTACCTCCTGACAAGTAGGGGTGTCTCTGATACACAAAAGGAAACTTTAAAGTTAGTCAATAACTTAAGTGGAATGAAAAGATCTTTCAAGTGATGCTGTCACTGAGTTTAGTGGCATTGCCAGAATATTCATCTAATTATCCTGTGGCAAACTAGCCACATCTTTATTAGGTACAAATACAGGTCTAATTGTTTTTCAAAACTCCACTTAGATTTTCCACTAGCAACTGCCCAAGTGATTTCAGGTGTATATCTGGAATGTTGTCTGTTTTATTCAATATACACAATAAAATATTTCAGCAGTTATTTCAGTAGTAGTCCATCCTCATAAACAAGTTTCTACCCTCAAAAGGTAAGTTTATTAGTAACGATTCTCCCTCGATGGGAAAGGACATCTCTTCCTACGTGTGTACCTGTCAAAAAAAAAAAAAAAAATCAATGTTTCAATACTGTAGAGCAATTTTGAGAGCACTGAAGCGAATGACCCTCAGTAATTATTGCTAGCATCAATTTTTAAGTCATGTTCATTTCATATGTTACACAACCAAGGTAAACAAGGAAAGCTTGGTGCTATTTAAAAACCATCCAGAGACGCTAAAGGCGAGCTAGGAGCTAAAGATGCTTGTCAGTCTCTGTAGCTCAGAATTTGGAACCTGATCTTGAAAAAAACTTTCAGAAGAGAGAGGAGTTCAGTAAATTATTAAAATAAGAATTAAGTGGCTGGTTAATTTTAAAAAATTATCTAAACCATGCCTATGTTAATAACAAGAGAAAAACGCTTTTTAGTAATCACAGCAGAAGATAACATAATGGCTACTCAAAATATTAAGCTTCTCCAGGAATAAAAATTACTTGTTGCTTTTTACTGAATAAAAATTCTAAGCTATGGAAAATGCAAAAACATGAGAAGAATCAGTCCTACCAGATTGTTTCTGCCATGTAAGCAAAATACATAGCAGTTGGTTTATTTTCCTTTCAGAACAGGAATGAAACACTAAAAGTTTTTAGCTGTCTACATTTCCTTCAATGCTATTGCTTTTATTAATTACAATATCTCTAGTCTTGACTGTATTCTTTTCATCTATTATATGACTCTATAGCCATGTGAATTCCCGCCATCCAAAACAATTCCTTGTTATGTTCCTGTATGGACAATTCACTGCAGTGTTTACCTAGATAGGCTTCTAAGGGTGTCTCTGGTTGCCCCTTTCTATTAGTTAAGGTAGAGTCATCACATGATAACGATTCAAACTGTTAAGTGAATTGTAACATTCTAAATAGTTTAGAGAAGACTCTTGAGAGTCCCTTGGACTGTAAGAAGATCAAACCAGTCAATCCTAAAGGAAGACATTGGAATATTTATTTGGAAGGACTGAATATTCATTGGAATATTGAATGCTGATGCTGAATTTGAAGCTCCAATCTTTGGCCACCTGATGCGAAGAACTGACTCATTGGAAAAGACCCTGATGCTGGGAAAGATTGAAGGCAGGAGGAGAAGGAGATGACAGAGGATGAGATGGTTGAATGGCATCACCGACTCAATGAACATGAGTTTGAGCAAGACCCAGGAGTTGGTGATGGTCAGGGAAGCCTTGCATATTGCAGTCCATGGGGTCACAAAGAGTCAGACATGACTCAGCAACTGAACTGAATTGAAATGAAATAGTTTGAAGAATGTTTAAGGAGGCCTTGAAATGTTGGGAGTAACTCACGGCATGTATGAATCTTCAGCACACCTCTGGCAAATCACTGTCATAATATCACCTGTCAAGCCTAAATATGAAATGTCTTAGGAATGTGTACAGGGATTCAAGGCCCCTTGGCCACCAGAGTCAAGAGATCAAAAGGTATCCCCGAATGACAGCCACAAAAAATAAATAAGGAAGCAGATAAAAAAACCAGACACTTGTAAGAGTGTCCCTCTGGGAGACACTGGTGCTCTGGGGTGGCATCATAAGAGCACAAAGACAGCCCCTGCCTTCTGGGGTCCCTGGAAAAGTTTACAGTTAGCCCTTAGCTGTGTGTTTAATCAGAACCCTGCCCTTCAGGCTGCAAGTATGATAATAAAGTAGAGGTTTCCTTCACAAAAAGACTGAGCTCCTGGGTCTGCTATCTCTTTTTGTGCCCTAAGGGTGGGGGCTATTTAAGAAATCTTTCTCTTTTGGTTATAGTCCTGCAGGACCTGTGAGCATAAACCCTGACAGCCACCAGAACCAGTTAATCTGGAGATGTCCCCTGGTCACAGTTTCCCAAACCAGGGCACCAGACATAAAAGCAGGAATACCAGACATGTGTAAGAGCCCCGCTGTGGGAGACACTGGATCTGTGGAGTGTGACAGACAGAGAGCATGAAGTTGGCACCTGCAAAGGGGAAAACAAAAAGATGGTGCCCACCAGCTTTAGCAAGGCAGACCAAGAGCACAGAGATAATGCTTGTCAGTTGAAATGTGAAGTAGCATCCACCAAGGGAAAAAATTTGGAGTAAAATCTATAATAAAATAAAATAGTGCCTGTCAAGCTTTAGCAAGGCAGAGGGAGAGGTCAAAATGTTGCCTGCTCTTGCCTCTGTCTCTAGAGAGGATCCCAACAGGTCCCTGTCCCTCAGGTCAATGCTCTAAGATTGAATATCTTTTGCACAGGGGCACTTTTCAATGTCTGCTAAGGTGTTGGTGCCTGGAGCAAATGAATCTGCCCTTTAAGAGTCTCTTTTCACTTCTCCACTAGTATGGGAGAATAGAGACAAGAGATCAATCTCAAGACACTGTGAAACAGATAATTCTATAAAGTATCAGAATTATGTTTTGATGAGACTTTTTCGGATACATTGAAGAGTTGGGGAAAGTAGAATAAAGGACATCCAAAAAACCAAACACCCTAAATCCAGAAAATGTTTTGTGATTAATAAGAAATTATGAAATGAGGAGCACTGGGTATAATCTGGGAGATGATCCTGGGACTGGTTAACCTTTGGTCACTAGTCAGTTTATCCTTTCATTTTCTAGGAAGGAAGAAATATCTGTCTCTACATAGGAGAAATTGTTGGAGTCACACAGATTGGCAGTAATAAGCAGTAATTTGGTGAAAAGACAATTTTGTGGGATTGTCCCTCTTTCACTTATTTCCAAATGTCATATCCTCACAGTCAGAAAAATATTCTTGATGCCTATCCCTCATATCTTTTCCCTGCAATGATGTTAATCATTCATCACCATTTGGTAAATTTTTGGTACATGAGAACCTACCACATGTACAGGTACATTATACATGCAATCTAGTTAGGTAGGTAGGTTTAGTCAGTAAGTCATGTCCGACTGTTGCGACCCCGTGGACTGTAGCCCTCCAGGCTCCTCTGTCCACGGGATTTCCCTGGCAAGAATACTGGAGTGGGTTGCCATTTCCTTCTCCAGGGGATCTGCCTGACACGGGTCTCCTGCATCACAGGCAGACTCTTCACTAACTGAGCCACCAGGAAAGCCCTAGTTGGGGGTATTCGGTTCACAATATTTATTGAGTGCTTCCTATATGCATAGAATTCTTCTAATGCTAAGGCTTAAAATGTACACATGACTTAGATTCTACTTTTAAAAAGACTAAAACCCATAGTAAAGATAGATATATAAACTTTTTTTTTTAATGTGACAAAACCTACCATAGACACATCTGTTAAAAAACAAGCAAAACACATCTTGGTGATGTTAATTTTCAAGATAAAACAAAATAATTAAAAACAAGTAAAAACATAATTTACAACAAAAAGGAAGTATTTGTAGAGATGTGAGTTCTGGAGGAAGTGAGACTTAGAACATAGAGGAAGGAGTTATGTTTCAGGTTGTCTAGAGACATCTGGGGATTAGGAACCTCAGTGAAATCATGTGTGTAGGGGGAGGGATGGTCAGTAGGTGGTAAATAGTGAGGAATCCTTTTGACAGAATTAAAATTTCTTCCTTATTGGGCAATCAGAGCTGATATGCAAAGTTTAAACTATCCTAGGTAAGGCATTGAAAAAATATAAAGAAGTTACATTGTTTAGAAAGGAAGGAATGAGATTAGAAAAAATATTAACTAGGAAAACATTTAGCAGTCCAAGATTAGTTATGATGAATTGGGCAAAGAGATTAGTGTGATAA